TGTGAGATCTAATCGGTCTATGGGAGGTGATGATGATGATGATGATGATGATGATGATGATGATGATGATGATGATGATGATGATGATGATGATGGAATAAAGAACAAGAACCAATGGTGGGTTTGTTTAACAATACCTGCATCCTGAAACAATTTGACATGGACCCTAACCACCTTATTTTAGGCTTAGAACCACCCCCAGATTTTAAATACTTTTTAGAGTACTGTATGTCACATGAATATCAGAAGGAATCTCTTTCTAAAGGTTGGGTACTGCAACAAAGAAGGCACAGTTCCTGGGTCTTGATAGACATTGTTTAACTAAAGCACACATGGAGCAGGTCAACCCTATTGGATTGAAACATCCAGCTTGTTATTACAGGAGATAGGCGGTTCCTCAAATAACCATACCCTATGTTGAGCCCTGATGTTGCAAGCCAATTCTGCCACAGCCTGGATTTTAATCCTGATGGGCTCCCCCTCCTTTTGAGGTCAGTAAAATGAAGATCCAGACTGTTGGGATCAATATGCTGACATGATAAACTGCACAGACAGTGCTGTAAATCTAAGTGCTATTGTTATTACTATATTAGCACCTCGAATCAACCAAAAGCATACTGGTAACCAGTTCATGAAGCAGAATGAACTAGAGAAGCACACCCATCACTGTCCATGCACCTGCATTTTGGATCATTTGAAGCTTCCAAGTTCATACAGCCAGCTTGTATTTCACTCCCACACTAAAGAACTCATCTATTGCACTGAATATGTTGTATTTTATTTTAATTCATTGTAAAGTGTTCTTTAAAGGTAAATGTAAAGGTTCCCCTCACACATATGTGCTATTCATTCCCAACTTTAGGGGGTGGTGTTCATCTTTGTTTCAAAGCCAAACAGCCAGGACTGTCTGAAGATGTTCTCCGTGGTCATGTCTAAATGACCAAATGACAAAGCATGACTAAATGACAAAAGTGCACGGAACACTGTTACCTTCTCACCAAAGATGATCCCTATTTTTCTACTTGCATTTTTACATGTTTTCAAACTGTTAGGTTGGCTGGAAGAAGTAACGGGACCTCACTCCATTACACGGCACTAGGGATTCAAACCGCTGAACTGCCGACCTTTCTTATTGACAAGCTCAGTGTCTTAGCCCTTCAATATGTTATTTAAATAAATGTTAATAAATGGGGGTTTTTTTTTGGGGGGGGAGAAACAGCTATGATTTGAGAGGTGATTGTTTGAATTGGAATAAAAATTCATATGGTTCATATGTTCATTCTGAACATATAAACAAATATGTAAACTGAATATATGTTAATCTTTCTACTTTAGGGATATTTTATCTTGTCAAAAATAAATGTCATACAAAAATATGGGAATCAAAGAAAGTGTTCTAAAATTCATATATTACTGAAAATAAAGTATAAAAATAGGGATAATTACTGACAAAAATGGATATGTTCAGCAAAATGTGTCTAAATGAAAAAAAGTTTTATACAGTTTTTTTTAAAATAAGTTTGAAAAATAACCTGCCATAACTTTACCTATATGAGCCAAATTTCCATTTTTATTTTTGTACATTTGAAAATGCACTTTATATTATCTAACAATCAGATGTAAAGGGTAACTTTATTTTTAGATTTGACTTCTTTTGGTTTCCGTTTGATATGACTTAAAACTTCTTCCTTTCTTCCCTTCTCCACATTATAAATATTTCATAAGAAACAACACAAATTGCAGAAAAGTATACATAAAAGGCTTCGGTTTGGAGTTGGAGGTAGCAACTGAAAAAGTCAAATGCATTAAAGGCAAAGACTGTATTAAACTGAATACACTGATGTCTAGTTTACAGATGTGGTAGTTCCAGTTTATATGGAATACTTATAATATGCTGGGTTAATATAATAAAGGAGCTCAACATGTTTACTCTGCAAGAGATTGATAATAGCCTACACGTATGTCAGAAAGTAGAAGTTTACATGATTGGACAGATATGTTCTTAGAGAGTAGATCAAGGACTAATACAGGGGTGAAACTGGGTCAGACCAATTCACCTGAACCGGTATTTCCGATGATCAGCTGGGCGACAATCAGCTGTGACATGTGATTTATATTAACTAGAATCATCTGATTTCCTGCTTTCTAGCTAATCTAAATCACGTGGCACAGCAGATTCCGCCCCTTGCTGTTCTACTTACCTTTGCAGTCTCAGAAGGCTTCAAAATGTTCCTTTTTTAGCACTGCGCAGGAACACCTCAGGTATGCATGCGTGAATAGTGCGCAAAGCATGTGCTCAGTAGCAGACTCACCGACTTCAGGGGATTACACCCCTGGACCAATAGATTCATGTTTTTAAAAAGCAGTTTGAGACTGAAGTTTAGTAGAAGATATTGATGGAAAAAGCCTTGGAGTATAAACAGCATCTCTGGAATAATAGTAAATTCTTACTCATTAGAGACTATAAAATGGAACTCTGGTGAATTGTTAGTGATGGTTTAGTAGATTCTGAACTGCATGAGATAAATTATAACATCTCTTTTAACTCATACATTTTATAATTCTACGGGAAGGTATTAGATAAAATTTCCCACACAAAAAAGAAATTCTTACTCTCTACTTTCTCAACAAGGAATATTTAGGCATCTTTGTTTAAATATACATTTAAAAAACTTTTTAGCTGTATGTTAACCTTTACTCACTTAAATACAAACACATTTGCTTAATATTGTGTGTATCTGTTAGGCAGTTTTGGATAGCAATGGTCGACATAATTTATCTTAAACTTAGAGAGGTCACTCCAAAGGTGCTGCAACTTGTGGATTTCGTCAAGCACTCCTTTCCTTAACAGTTGTTTTAAATTCAAAACAATTGGCAACTTGTACTTTTAAAATGGCATGAAGAATTCCAACTTCCTTATACAATTTCAGATTATCACCTATATTGCACAAGGAGTGTTAGAATAATCCCATTTCTTGAAAGCAATATGTGCCACAGTTTTCACTGTCATTTTAAGATGCTAAATACAATGAAGGCTCTAAGGCACATCACAGTCTGGATTATAGGCCTCAACTGACATTGAATGACTGTAATTTGAGTAATGACATACACAATTTTGATCCACTTTTTTTCTATCTGCAAAACAGTAAGTCTTTGAATTAATGTCATTCCTTACAGAATTGACAATGATTTTTTTCCCCTTAACAGACGCAAGCAGTCTGTTAAAGGAAGGAACACTTTGATACCAGAAAGGCATACATGGCATAGTTGTAAATTCTTTACGGCCACTTGTTCTTTTTAAATTAGATTTTGAAATTGTTCAGACAAGGTCACAGTTGCTGTAGCCTGCTTGCTATATGAGGATATCCAAATCTGTTTCCTCTTGAACTGAATGTATTTCAATGCATAATAATAATGGTGTTAATGAATGCATATCAAAATATCAGAGAGCAGATTATTAAGTGAAGGAGATATGCAAATGTGTTAAACAAAATAACAATGAATTTGGGACAAAGGCTGCTTTTATCTTTTATCTTTAGGCATACATATTATACAATAT